TCAAACTCCTGGCTCAAGCAATCCTCCTGCCTCAGTTTCCTGAGTAGCTGGGACTATGGACACTCACCACTGTGCCGGGCTCTATCTCATTTTTAAGAAAAAATTCCATTACAATATGTCTTTGAATAATTCTTTCAGAAAGAATCTGTAGATGGTAAATTGACAGAATCTGCTTGACAGAAAAATGACTACCTGGTATCATCAAATTTTTAAAGGTCATTTCCTTTGCCTTCTGGTCTCCAGAACTGATGAGAGTACTGATGAAAAATCTGATTCCATTCTCATTTTGTTCTTTTTCAGGCAACCTAAAAAAATTTCAGGTTTTGCTGTGGAAAATATTAGAGTATTTTTTTCCTCATCAAAAATTTTACCAGGATGTGGTCTTTTGGTAGTTTTTTCACATTCACTCTGTTTGGCCTTTTGGGAAAATCTTAATCTATCCAATCAACATCTATCTATAGACCGATCTATCTAATCTATCTATCTATCTATCTAATCTATCTATCTATCTATCTATCTATCTATCTATCTATCTATCTATCTTATCTATCTATCTATCTATCTATCTATCTATCTATCTATCTATCTATGAGACAGGGTCTTACTCTGTCATCCAGACTAAAGTGTACTGGTGCAATCATAGCTCACTGCAGCCTCAAACTCCTGGGCTCAGGTGATCCTCCTGAGTATCTAGTGCTACAGGTACATGCCATCACATCTGCTAATTTAAAAAACTGTTGTCCTAGCTGACCTTGAACTCCTAGATTCAAGTGATCCACCTGCCTCGATCTCCTGAAATGCTGGGATTACAGGTGTGAGCTACCATGCCTGGCAGTAAAATGTTCTATAATTTATTTTTTAAATTATTTCTTCCCTCCAGTGTATCTTTTCTTTCCTTTCAGATCTCCTATTTGATAAACTGATCTTTTTAACCTTTCGTCTCTATTTTCCGTCTCTTTGTCTTTTGCTTTCTATTCCAGTGGACTTCCCTGACCCTTTCTTCCAGAACACTGTATCAGAAGTCGGCTGTGTCCATTCTACTATGCATCTACTGAATTTCGCATTATATTTTTAAACCTTCAAAAACACTTTAAAATTTTTGGGGCTGGGTTCGGTGGCTCAGCCTGTAATCCTGCACTTTGGGAGGCTGAGGTGAGTAGATTGCCTGAGCCCACTGGTTTGAGACCTGCCTGGGCAACTTGGCGAGACCTCATCTCTACAATAAATCAAAAATCAGCTGGGCATGGTACCGTGTTCCTGTAATTCTGGCTACTCGGAAGGCTGAGGCAGAAGGATCACTGGAGCCCGGCAGGTCGAGGCTGCGGTGGCCGGGAGCAGCCACTGCACTTCAGTCTGGGCGACAGAGTGAGACTTGAACTCAGAAAAAAACCCAAACAAACAATAAATAAATAAATAAAAATTTTTGGGCAACCCCCTCAGGTCCCCTCCCACTGTCTTCTCAATAAATCCTGCTTTCAAAACTTTTTTTTTCTCATTACAGTATGTTCCTGATTCATGGATACAGTGTTATCTTGATTAGATGTTATTTGTAATTTCAAAGATTTCTTTTCTTTCCAACAGTCCGCTCCCTTCACAGTCAGTATGTCTTTGTATTCATCTTGAAGCTTCTCTGTCAAGTTGCTGCTTTCCCTCAAAAGTTTCATCATCTTAAGCTGTCCATTTATGTTCATAATGAAGGATGAGGTTTAATTAATACACAAAGCAACCTATTAGCTATGCTACCTATTAGCTATGAGATTTTAGAACAAGTTCTTAACCTTCTTGCATCTCAGTTTACTCATCTATAAAATGGAGCAATAATACCTACAAGGTGGTGAAAATTAAACAAACTGACACATATCATGAAAGTGCTTGGACCGTGCCCAGCACACTGCAAGTACATTATAAATGCTAATGATTATTATTACTATGGGTCTCCTCTGACTAACTACGGAGACATGAAGTTGGAGGCAGGTAGGCGATGACCTTTACTCCCCACCAACAGACTGAAGATTGGCTTTACCCTAGAGGCAAAGGATTTGAGAGCATCTTGGACAGACATTCTCTTGGATAGCACTGCATTTCACTTATCTCTGATCATCCCTTCATACAAACTCAACCCCTGTTCTGCTCTGGGCCCTACATCCACACCAGAAATCTTTCCCAGGCAAGCCATTCCTTTTCTTTTTATTATTATTCTTAGACAAATCTAGGGGTAATCTGCTTCTAGGGGCTAGAGGTAAGGTGGGAGAACTGGGTGTTGAAAGTAATTCCCTGATTGCTGTCTTAAGACCCTTAGTTTTTCTTTTCACTGATTCACTTTGTGCTTGAAATTCTGCCAATTTGTTCTTACCATTATGGTAGTTTTCTCCCATGAGTGTTTTGCCCTGTGATTTTTATTTTCTCTATTATTGTTTATCTGTCTCTATTTGCTTTCTAACTATCAATAATTCTTCACAATTTCTGGTCTGCTAATGGCTTCTTTCTTATTTCTTTGTGCCCATTCTTTTTTAAAGAATGCATTTTCTGTCTTTTTAAAGAATCTTTGGACAAAAGCAAATGCTCAGTCCTCTAACTTTCACTAAGCTGTACTATTTTTCATACTGGTTAATACATTCATACCTGCTGACTACAAGGATGAACATCTGTTTATACACTGTAACAACTTTTAGATAGGTATACTTGTATATGTTACATACATATTCAATCTTAATAAATGTAATCACAAACTTAATTTGATAGCTATTTAAAATGCAAAGCAAAAAAGAGACATTAATGCTTATCGAACATCCTTATAACTACACTGCTTTCTATAATAGCTGTCCATAACTATCTATACATATAATGATATAGAGTTAATCTAGCAGCTAAAGTAGAATCATTATACTTTCATTCCTTTTCTTCTAACAAATAAAAGAGTACCTGAAAGGCTTTTAGTCCATGTTCTCAGCATTTTTGAAGGCGTCTTATCAAATATGCTCTTATTACCCATAATTTTGTGTATCGATTTGTATAATGTATTTTGAGGAAAAAATTCAATATCAGCCATTCTTTCTTTTTTTTTTCTTTTTATTGAACTACCAAGACTAATATAGCACGTCACTAAGCAAAAAGTGCTATTTACTATGCAAAAGGCACAGTCAGTGATTGGCATCTAAGACCAATTGATCTACCAATTACCACTATCTCCCTACCCTTGCTAGCACTACTATGAAGCTATTGATTTAAACACTGTCGATCGGTTTCCATTTTCTGATTTTGGGCAGGCCAATTAAGAAAGTGAATAATTGTGATTACACTGCTTCAGGATCAATTACATTTGATACAAGACAAAGTGCTCTTTTTGGAACACACAGAAAATAATTTTTGATCTAGTGTGCTTTTGTGCTTAATAAACTCTAAAATAAATAATTTATAACTTAACAATAGAAAAACATATTAAGTAAATGCTTACCATAGCTTAGGCTATTTTCTATGTGAAATAAATCTATAATTTTCCTAAAATAGTTTAAAAGAAAATGAGAAAAACATTGTTCATATATACTTTCCAGCATAAGATAAAATCAAATACTACCAGCATATTTATCCATCCCCAAAAGGATTTAGTTAATTGTGAAAGACAAAACACAAATCCTGTCAATGGATTATAAAAGAAGTCTTTGTAATAAAAATATTGGGGGGAAAAAACTTGATTACATAGGAATCAAAAAGTTCCTTACATAAATTGGTAAGAAAAAGGAATCTTTTTAGTTCTTAATTTTGGTCTAACTTGGTACATAAGCTTTGTCATTGGGTTCACATTGTCCAAATCATTAAAATGAATATACCTCTGGTGTTGGAGGCAAATCTATTTAGAGTGATGTTACTCATAGTCTGGTGTTCAGTAATATTGATCGGTGTTGTTTGTCTAATAGAAAAATAATAAACAATTACTAGGCAATGTTGGAAAAGGTAATCAGTTTTTATATATCACTAATATAGCAGACCTCCCAAAACATAAAGGTGATGATCTGCATAAAATCAATGTGTTATGCTACATTGCTTATATTTATCATTGAATGTTCTTGGCAATAAAAAGTATAATACTAGTTCTGAATCACTGGTAAACTGAAAAGTTATATGAAAATGAAAGGCTCACTATATTTAATCTATAAATTTATCTTAAAATGTCTATTTCCAAAATGTAAAGATTTTTAATCATAACAAGTTATGTTCTAAGCTGGCAAAAATTTAAATAAAATGTCTCAATTCTTTTTAGAATAAAAACAAAGCAACTTCAACTCAAAATAACAAATTGTACCTTGTCTCAGAAAAACAAAAAGAGTTCAGATAATTCTCAAATATGAATGAATACAGTTTTGTACTAATTTGCTAATTGCCTCTGAATTTATAAAACATTATATAAAAAACAACAAAATCTAGTCCTAAATAAGTTCTTTTGAACAGTATTCAGCTATAACATTTTTACTAACTGCACAAATGTTCTCTTTTGATTTTTATCTAAAGCAGTTTGAAAATTAAAGTAAAAAACAAAAAAAAACTTAGGGGTTTTAGGCACCAATGGAATCAATATTATTCCACTTTAGAAGCTCAAGGTAACACACATGATGTTTCAAAAGATATCTTCTCTTGGCTATTCAAAAATATTATTAAAGTTTTAAATTCTTCTAGATTTTCCTCATTAATTTTGTCATAATTTTTCTAAAACTGCAGTATTAAGATAAAAAAAATTACTCAGCAGTAGCTTCTTTCTTTAACCTACAAACTATGAATTTCAATCATGTATGGCAGACTAGAGGGCAGGTGTGTAACAAATACTAAAAATGCACATATTGCACACAATTTGTACAACTATTCTATGGCAGGATAAACACTGTCAAAGCAAAATACATCTGTTTAAATGTTTTGTCTTTCACAGAAAAAAAGTTGTTCACAGCCTAGGTTTTGACCTGCTATCCTTTAGAGGTAATATAAAAAAATAGAAGGACAATTGAACTTACCACAACTGGAAACTGGCAGTCTGAGTAGAATCACAGAAGTCAATACCTATTGAAACAGTAATGGATCCCTCAGGCCCAAGAGAGTCTAGGAAATAAGATAATTTAGACATAAAAACACAAAGGATATAAATGGAGGTACAATAAACATTGAAAGTTTATGTAATACTTGTAGTTAAAACAGTTAAAACAGTCAAATTTAGTGATGGCTTAAAAGTTTCAAACTAGGAATATTAAAGCAAATTATAAAATAACTTTACTATTCTGCCTGAAGGTTTTCGTCTTCACAACTTAATTCTATACATACTCCAATGAAGACATCATATCTATTTGTTTCAGAAACATATCTTCCAGAGAAACTTCCTGTTTTCTAATATTGTCTCTACCGGCAATGAAAGTGAGAAGGTCTCACATGTGTTCCTGCTTGGTATACCTATGACAGACTTTTAGAGCCTATGAGAGATTATGTATTTAAAACTATGTAACCTTTATTCTAGATATAAAAAGCAAATTTTAAACCATGTTCCAAATTTTCAATGAAAAAAAATTCTAAATTAAAAAATGCAAATTAAAGCAAAATTGGAAGAGGAAATTAAAATATTCTGAAATTAACCAAGAAAACTGGCATTACTAAAATCAAAATGATAAGTGTAATTGCATTATTTACAGAATTACTGAAAGAAGCTGGGTATAGTGGCTAATGTCTGTAACTCCAGTACTTTAGGAGGACAAGGCAGGAAGATTGCTTAAGGCCAGGAGTTCAAGACCAGCCTGGGCAACATAGAAAGATCTCATCACTACAAAAAAATTTAAAAAATAAAAATTAGCTGAGTGTGGAGGTGTATGCCTGTAGTCCCAGCTACTCAGGAGGCTGAGGTGAGAAGATCAGGGTTATAGTGAGCTATAATCATGCCATTGCATTCCAGTCTGGGTGACAGAATGAGACTCTGTCTCTTAAGGGGGAAAAAAAAAGAATTAATGAAACAAAATTTAGTGGCAGATTAGATTATCCTGATAAAATTAATGAGAAGATGACATAGATTTGAAATTTCTGAAGCTTTATCTATCAACCAAGTATAGGAAGTAAATATACCAACAAAAAATATAGTATTTTTTTTTCAGTTAGCAAAGTTTATAGTAAACAGAAACAAAATTTCATTCTGCTTATGATTCCAAAGTTTGGTTATACCTTAGAATAACTGAAAGAGCCTTAAATATACATGTATATAAAATACTACATTTTTCACATAGAAACTATCCACTTTTGATTTCCACTTTGCTCCAAGTCTTCAGTATAACTGCAGCCATGCCATACAACAGTTTTAAATTTAGCACTGTCTATTTTGTATACATCTTGTCAGATACAGTTATATTTTAGCAAGCACATTTCTAATTTAGTAGACTGACTATCTTAGGACTTGTTGGTAAGTATAATTTGCCATTTAATGCTAATTATGACAGAGATGATTGCTGTTTAGGACAAAATAATAATTCAATAAAGTTACTACACTAAGAATTATGTTTACGTCTGATAGGCACCATGAAAATTAGGCATTATAAGACAGCACTTGTTTGATGCTGATTTTATTTTTATTTTATTATTTTAGAGACAAAGTCTCACTCTGCCCCCCTGGGATGAAGTGCAGTAGCACCATCATAGCTCACTGAAGCCTCAACTACTGAGCTTAAGTGATCTTCCCACCTCAGTTTCTGGAGTAGCTGGGACTATAGGCATGTGCTATCATGTCCAGCTAATTTTGTATTTTTTATAGACATGGGATCTCACTATATTGCCTTGATTGGTCTTGAACTCCTTGGCATCCCAAAGTGCTGGGATTGCAGGTATGAGCTACCATGCCCAGCCTGATGCTGATTTTAAAATGTTATTGGTTTGCTCAATGGTATGTATGCTGACTTGCTGATTCTAACCTGATTTTCTTTTGTTTATGAACCAAACATCTGCCAGGATGCTACTCAAATACCAAAAGACTTGCTACTACCTAAATCTATGGCAAACAGGCTTTACTGTAGGGTAAAGAACTATAAAGACCTATTTTTCTTTGCATTTCTCCTAAAGCTACACACTGTCATTAGTTCACAGCTCTGTCAGTCACAGTGCTCAAGGCTATTCTTCAGTGAATTCTTAATGCCTTCTTTTGTGCATAAATATACTAGGCTTTGGTCTTGTTTGTATCTGACACTATACTGGCAGCAAATGTTGTCATCTCCAAAACATGAAAACATTCATGATTTAGATCTCTCTTCACCATGTACCCTTGTATTTCATTTGACAAAGTGACAGCTCTCACGATGCCTTGTTGATAGTACTCTTTGACACAATTTGATACTGTCTTCAGGTTTGAGATAATTAACTGTGAGCTTAGTGCCATGCTAATTCTGGAGGACAGTTCATGATCAATGGCATGTTTTATTATATGGATGCTTCAAGAGCAAAATGATCAGCATAAAATTATTCATATAATGGATTTTTATAATATTTGGAGCCTACTAAATTGGGAAAGCGTATCCAATTAGGTGCGATATTTGAATACAGCTTCTACATTTGCTGCTATATACTTGAGATGGCTACGGAGAAATGACTGAAAAACAGTGGCTCTATTACACCACACCATTAACAATGAAAAATGAAATCACATAAGATGCCATTGACTTTGATTTGACAGCTGTACAGTGAAATCTTAGCTGAACTCAAATTTGTCAACTGTTAACATAAAGTCACTGAATAGAATGCTGAGAGCTTAAAGCTATCCTTTGGGCCTTTAAAAAAAAATATCTTGTATACTTGGTCTCTTTGGGAAAAATGGAACATTATTCCTAATATTCTTGCAAGGAATCTAGTTTCATGCTAAAGTAAGGCAAAATCTAGACAAAAGTCATTGCATACTATAGACAAAAACAGATTAGTGTCAAATAAGAAAACTACTGGACTCCTTAAAAGTGCATGCATGCTTAATAAATAAAACAAATCTTACCTTATTTCACAAAACTTTAAAATACAGTATTTGTTTTTTGTTGCATTCTTAAGATGTTTTTGGAGGACTAACTTAGACATATCGTATTCTGTAGCTCTACTGTATCTCTTTGTAATGAGTCTAGGTGTTGCTACACAAAAAATACATATTGCACAGGAAATAATTCTGTATCTTAAGGGTACTCAATAAATGCCAATAAAATGAATAAAACATTCAGTCATAAAAATTTGCCGAAGAATGAAAAAGAGAAACTTATAACTAGTACTAAGGCAATGGTATACACTCATATTTTATTTCTGTGTTAAGGTCATACTATAAAATTTATTATATTTGTTTCTTCTAGTCTACATAGGCCAACAAAAGGTCAACTCATCATCTCATTATGCCAGCTCAAAGAAAAATTAATACTGTTCTACTGTTTTAACCTTTGGATAACATTTTCAACCTTCACACAATTCATATATCAGCTGCTTGACACTTCTTAAACTAATTTTTTAACTAGGTAAAAAATGTTGAATTACAAGCAATAAAAAATACAAAATTGGAATATTCTATAATTCCTTGTCAATATAACAACTTCACAAGCTACTAAATAAAAATTAGAATACTGTATATTCTTTAAGCTATGTCTTAATTATCAAAATATTTTTTAAAAATATTAAATGGATTCTGAAATCAGTTTCCTTTAACTTCCACTTTACTTTCGTGGTTTGTAAAACTCTACTAGGCTTTCTCAGAAATTGTTTTATTTCATTGTGTAAAAATATAAACAAAAAATTACTTCCTTTATTGCATGACTCATAGAGAATTCAGCAATGCTAAATATCTCAGATGAAGGTGAAAAACAGGAATAGTTATGTGAAACAATGGGTAAAGAAGGCACAGTTATCACATTTGAGGTCATTCTGGTCAAAAGGCGTGGTTCACCTGGCACATTATAAAAAGGCACTATCTAGAGCATTCTTACTGTAACATTTGGAGGATACAATGACACAAACCTCCTATCACTTTTAATTGAAGTTTTGCCCGAAGCTTCTCTAAATTAAACCTAGAACTGTCTCTACTTAGAAAAAAACAGAAGGAACAGAGGTATTCTAAATATTACACTACTTCAAATTCAAAGACATAAAATTGAACTTGAATTTTTTTGTTTTTAATTTGAGTTGGAGTCTCACTCTGTCACCCAGACTGGAGTGCAGTGGCACGCTCCTAACCATCGCAGCCTTGACCTGCTGGGCTGTGGCGATCCTTCCACCTCAGCCTTCCAAGTAGCTGGAACTGCAGGTGTGTGTCACCATGCCCGGCTAATTTTTACTTTATTGTAGAGATGAGGTCTCGCCAAGTTGCCTGGGCAGGTCTCGAACCAGTGGGCTCAGGCAATCCACTCACCTCAGCCTCCCAAAGCTCTGGGATTACAGGTTGAAACACTGAGCCCGGTCAACTTTAACTTTTAAAGGGTATATTTTTAGCCAAATACTTAAACACAAGTAGAATGACAAATGGCCACTGACACTTAGCTGGGGAGACACTAGGGATGCCGTGGGCAAAAATGCACCTGGACAGCACCAGCGGTCATTACAATGGGAACAAAGAACCATTACTGCCATGTCTTATGCTTTGTTAAAAGATTCCCGTTTTAAATTGTAAAAACTTCTTGATTTTTACATGGCAACAGATTAAAAATATTTAAAAACACGACATGGAGCCAGGCTCGGTGGCTCAGCCTATAATCCCTTGCCTTTGGGAGGCTGAGGTGAGTGGACTGCCTGAGCCCGCGGGTTCGAGACCTGCCTGGGCAGCGAGACCTCATCTCTACAATAAATAAAAAAAATCAGCCGGGCGTGGTAGCCCATGCCTGTAATTCTGGCTGCTTGGAAGGCTGAGGCGGAAGGATCACCGGAGCCCAGCAGGTCAAGGTTGCGGTGGCCACGAGCGACCACTGCATACCAGTCTGGGTGACAGAGTGAGACTCCAACTCATAAAAATAAAAAAAAAAAAAACATGACATGGATAAACACTATGCTATTTTATATTCTATATTCGGAGAGGAAGACAAGTAGAACAGTGAACATCCTCCCAGCTTTTGCTCCCTTCACTTTTCAGTTTGTGGACTATGAATGAAACAGGAAAGGATCTAGATATATGGGAGGTACTGTATTCAAAAAGGAAGGCTAGATTTCTTGCTTTTAATATGCAACAAACCACTAAAGTCATGGAGGGAATGGGGGAGGGGAAGTGCGCAAGTAAGTTAAATTAGGTAAATTAGGATGGCAATTTTTTTTTTTTTAAAGAAAGTAGAATTTACTGAGAGGACAGAAAAGCTCCCACAGTGGGAGGCAGACCCATCCTTTCATCACTACTGGTATTACTATCGCTAGGACCTGATTTACTAAGGGCAAAGACACAATTATCTTGTATAATGAACTCAGTTTAAAAGTAGAAAACAAACATAAACTGAATATGCTAAAAGTCAACAAAATGACATTCTACATTACTTTTAAAATGAACATTTAGTTATCAAATACAGTTAAATTTTAAATGAGAATTAATATTTACCAATTGGATTAAAAACATGCATTTGCATGCCTACAGGAAGTCTGTTTTCCCCAATGTGGATATTTTCTATCTTTCGATCAGTAGTATTATTCAGTGTTATTTGTACACAGACCATCTTATCACCAAAAATACAAGGCTGTCTTGGAAAGAAATAATGGGCAGCTAGTCCTTTCCCACTCATTCGGTGAAGCAGCACATGAATTTTCATCGGGACAAAGACAGGAGTGCAGACCTGTTGCACATGGGAAGAAGAAAAAAAGAAGCTGATTCAGTGAATATAGTTATTATTTTAGAAGCTATGAAAACATTTGTGACATTTAATTCCTGGTTTTCCTAAAGTATTATATAAACCACAATAACAAACATTAGTAGAATACCACACAGCTAAGGAGATGCAAATCAAAACCACAATGAGATACCACCTAACTCCAGTCAGAATGGCAATTATCAATAACTCAAAAAATAACAGTTGCTGGAGAGGGTGTGGCGAAAAGGGAACACTTCTACACTGTTGGTGGGAGTGTAAACTAGTGCAACCTCTGTGGAAAGCAGTGGGCGATTCCTAAAAGCTCTAAATATGACCTCCCATATGACCCTGCAATCCCTCTACTGGGAATATACCCTGAAGAACTCAAATCACTCTATAAAAAAGATACCTGCACATGTATGTTTATCGCAGCATTGTTCACAATAGCAAGAACCTGGAAGCAACCATGCTGCCCATCAAAAGAGGACTGATTAAAAAAATGTGGTACATATGCATGATGGAATACTACGCAGTCATAAAAAAGAACAAAATCATGAATTTTGCAGCAACCTGGATGGAACTAGAGTCTATAACACTGAGTGATCTCTCACAGAAACAAAGATCTGAGTATCACATGTTCTCACTCATATAGTGGACCTTGAACATCCAACATAATACTACGGGGGGGGAGGGGAAGGGAGATGGGATTAATGGTAGTAAATATCTGTCTGGGGATGGGGAGACACCTCTTATCAACAAGGGTGCCTGAATGAAAGAATACCACATAGCTATAAGTCAAAAATGATATTAAAATGTAAAGTAAATGCCCTCAAAACAGTACTAAAATTTTTCTGTACTAGGCAGGCATATATTAAAATATTTTGACAACATAAAAAGAGAATAATCTCAATTATATAAGCCCCTCTTCTTGCACAGTTTATAAACATTTTTGTTAGTTTCTTTAAACATTGTTGTTAGTTTCTTTCCTAGATACTCTATATGTGGCCATCTTGCTAACTTTCTTAATAGTTTTAAGTCTGTCAGCTAGTTTTCTTGGGTTTCAGCATAAGATAGCATCATCTACTATTAAATAATAATGAACATTTTGTACCTTTGTGTCTAATCTTGACTTCTTGAACATCTTTTTACCTTGAATTTCTTTGACTGTAAACTGAAGACCATGATCTCCAGGTTAAGGCGGTTTCTTCCTTTGCTTTAATGATTAAAAGATCTTGCCTACTTTGGGATCAGGTAACTGTTCATTTACATTTTCTTCTAGATTGTTCGTGGTTTCAATCTTTTAATTCATGTGGAACTGATATAGGTATGCTAATTTTAAATTTAATTATTTTTCCCCAAATATTGAACCAATTGTCCCTACATGATCTAATGAATGGCCTTTCCTCATTGACTTGTAAATGCAAACATTCTAATTATTTATATACTAGGAGACATTTCTGGGCCTTGATTCATCTGTTAAACCAGATTGTTTTATTTTTTACAACCCTACAATATAATTCAATTATTCGGTAAAAGAAACCTTTCCTCATTTCTCCCTTCTCCGGTATTTTCTTGGTTAATCATCTGTTTATCCTTCCATTGATGTTAGACTCTTTTAGCATAATTCTTCCCTTAATCTTACTTTGATTGTAACCATAGGCAGCATATTAAATAAAGAAACACTGTCCATTCTAAAACCATGTGATAGCTATCTTTCCATTCAAAGTCTAAGTATTGCATATTAGGCTTGACCTGATATGTGCAAGCTTTTAAAAAAAAAAAAATCAATTTGTAATTAAGCAGGCCTAATCAAGATTTTTTCCTAACAAGTATGCTCTTCCAACTAGGTTATCTAATATAAGTGTGAGAGCACATATCAACCTATAAACATGTTCACTATGCCAGTCACACTCGATGACATTAAAAAGTTAGTAACAATAGTAATAATTTAAAATTCAACAAAAACTCTAAGAGTTAAATATCATATATACAAAACAATTAATAGTGTCTTCTAAGCATCATTAAAACACATTATTCTTTCTCCAAAAGCCCAACTTGTAAGTGTGGGCAATTTAAAATAATCATTGTAAAAATTTACAGGAGAGTTTATTTGCAAATATAATGAACTGACTAAATCTTAAATTTTGGTTAGATAAAGCAGTGGGGCAACTGGCTTATTCCTTCTACTTTAACATTCTGATGATGACAACAACAGTCTAACATTTTAATTTTTCAAAGTTCTTTCACTTCTGAGCTTAGATTCTTTTCCTTCAATAACAATTATTTTCAAAACTCTTCTCTTTCAGTGCTCATTCTAATTTCTATTATCATTGTGAATTCCTGTGTTGTTTGGTATAACCCAAGACAGCAGTGAGTGAACATTCTTTCACTTGAAGATATAGTGGGCATCTAAACAGACACAAAATGTGTGTATGCATGTGTGCATACAGTATATATATATATGAATATGAGACTATAAATTCTGAATATGAGGCTATAAATGTAATATAAATATAGACTGATGGCTTTGCTAATTTTGTACATTTATATTTATATTTGTATATTTATATTACATTTATAGCCTCATATTCAGAAAAAATATTTCCCCCCACAAATTCCTATGCCACTGAAGCTATGATAACGAACCTTAAACATAAGTTCTTAACTGGCTAATTATATTTTTCAGTATCACATTGCCTTAATTAGAGGATAAGCACATTGAAGACAGTGATCATGTCTTACTTTTTTTCTACACAGTTGTCACTAAATCACTAAACAGAAGTTGATGTAGCCAGCTTTGTCTCTGTGGGAATGTAAATGTAATGTGATGTAGCCAGCTTTGTCTCTATAATGTAAAGGGGAAGGCTACTTGAAAGTTGGAGAGAGGCAAGGATAGAATAGTATGAGAAAAGCCGAACAGAAGCAAGGGTCTGGTTCACAAGCAGCCAGGCAGTAGTGTTCTGAACCCATACAAGGTGCTTAAAGTATACCTTAAGTTAAGTAATTTAAGAGCCACTAAGTCTTGGCTGACCTACTGATATTCTTTCTCAGTCTAATCCTGGGACACATGGTCCAGAACATTTATTTTGTTTTTTCTACCTTGTGTCAAAATCCTGAAGTTTTATTATAATTGTTAAAAAAGATGTTAAGGAGAAATAAAGAACTGAGTATCACATGTTCTCATTCATAAGCAGACGCTGAATAATGATCATAATACTATAAGTGGGAAACTGCCGGGGGGGGAGGGGGGCACACTTCATCAGTAAGGGTACCTGATCTCAAGTCACGTAAAGTGGAGACCAAAGTGAGGCCCAAACTTTTTCTGTACAATGACCATTTGTATACCTTACCCTGAATTGTACCCCACATCTTTAAAGTAAAATAAAACAAATAAAAAGCAAAATACAAAACTGTGGGGGGGGGGGAGTTGTTAAGGGATGGATAAAGGAAGAAAAATAGTACAATTCTCTCCACTCAGCCTTTCCACAATCAGCCAAGTTCAAAGTAAGAAGCACTCTCCAATGAATTCATCATGTAAAAAACGCTCTTTCTGACAAATCCTTCAAGGTTATCTGTGATAACACAGAGAGGTCTACGTATGCTTCCACAATAAACAGGATCATAAGTGACACTCTGTTGTAACAATATATACTTGTTTAACTACAAAAGGGAACTAAGTGAAAATGTCTAATTGCTTTTTTTTGTTTCCCAAGTTCATACAAGTCATATTACGCCAAACTTCTCCAATACTTGGATAAACTACATAGGTAATATTTTGTTCAATAAAACCAGTGGAAGGTTCCATAAACCTTTCAACTATTTCTATATATAGCACAGTTAATCTTGGTATTAATACCATTAATATATATTAAGATTTACATGAAAGGGTGTCTTTTTGGTATCTGCACAATGGCACCATATAGACTGATGGCTTTGCTAATTTTGTACATCATATTAGATACCTATATTCCAGAAATATATTAGATCTCTGGCTGCTTATATTCTAAGATGCTAAACATTGCAATGGTTTTTCTGACTTCGTTTTATAGATACCAAAAACTGTATTAGATGTAAAAAAAAAAAAAAGATAAAAGGTAAATTATAAAATAAAACTAGATTTGGGTTGTGAAAATGAGAGTTTAAGGAAAAAAAGATATTTAACAAGTCTAAACACAACAGATCATCTAGGGCAGAGGCTGCAAATTACAGCCCACAAACAAATAGGGACTGCTGCCTATTTTTATAAAGTTTTGTTGGAACACAACCATACTCATTCATTTATGTACTGTTCGTGGCAGAGTTGAGTAGCTGCAATACCCAAAATATTCACTATCTCATCCTTTAAAAAAAGTTTGCTGAATCCTGATCTTGGGGCACAAACATTACATCCTCTCCACTCCAAGTCCCTCCCCTTGTTATTGGGAAAAAATTCTCTCCAAGTTTCATGTCTGCTGAGTAAAGTCATGAACAACTTTGCTCCTGAAACTCTTTTCAAGGATGTTTGTATCATGAACAATCTTTGCAAGACAGAGGTAATGTCTCCCTCTGGGGCAGGTGACAGATTTGTTTGCGGTCCAGAATTACAAAGATAAAATCTCCCTCTGGGGCAAAAGCTGGGCAGATTTGCTAACAGACCCTTATAAAAGCCTGGAGTTTTAACTCTCAGATTCCTCTCCTGTAAAGCCACATTCTGCGTGTACAGGCAGCACTTGGCTTTCATCACATGGGAATTGGGCTCAGAAGTGATTAAATGATGCTATTCTGGCTACTGCTATTGCCGCAAGTAATAAACCGTCCTTTACCTCAGACCCAGGAGTCTTGTGTCTTCTAATAGCATTCATGCAATTGTTGCAAGTTAACTTGTTAGTCTGCAAGTAGGGTAATATCTCAGACCCTTCAAAGTTCTTGAAGCCCCCTTTTTTGGTTATTTAACAAAAGTTTTAGTCACATTTCAAACAGCTAAATTAACACTTAGTAAAACCACT